GTAAATAAAACCACTACAAAGTGACTGAGGTAGTCCCCAAACTTAAACTATCAGCCTCTGAATCTGCTCTTAACCACTATGCTCAATGGTGTGCTGGTGTAAAACAACTCTGGGGGAATATGAGGGAGCTTCAAAAGTTCATGGAAAATGGAATTGAAGTGCTGGTTCATTTTGGCAAAAAATATATTTTTTAAATCCCATGCATAGTTTTCTCATGATACACATTTTCCATGAACTTTTTGAAGACGCCTTGTACATAAGTTCCATGGGATAAATATTCTCACAGTGCCAATGTCAAGCTGTCAGTGGTTTAATAGCCAGCAGGGAAAATGCCTCACTGTTTACCATGAGCACGTAAGAGCCAGTGCCAGCTGGTCCAAGTGCCCTACTAAGGATCTCATGTGGCCTTTCTGTGCTTTCAACACGGCAACATGAAGACAAGACTATTCAGTTATTATTATCTGAAAAATAACTTTATTGAGGTATGATTTACATACAATGAAATGTACTCCCTTTTTTTAAAATAGATTTTTGCTATAGGGCGTGTGCACTCACCAGAGAGAGAGAGAGCGAAAGAGAGAGAGAGAAAGAGAGAGAGGGAGGGAGGGAGAGAGAGAGAGAGAGAGAGAGAAAGAGAGAGAGAGAGAGAGAGAGAGAGAGAGAGAGAGAGAGAGAGAGAGAGATAATCCTCCTGGGGGATGGCCACACCACAATTCCTTCTCCATTATTCTCTTGGGAATTTAGGAATGCTTGCACATGTGCCTGGTGTATTTTAAGCTGCCACTGGGTCTGGGACTTGAATCGCTATCGACTATGTGGGAGTCCAGCGACGTAACCATTATACCATCTGCTGGTTCAAAATGTCCCCTTTTAAGTGTGTGGTTTATTGACTCTTACCATTGCCATGATTAAAATAGGGAACATTTCCATCAGTCTTAAAGGTTGTGTGCCTTATTCCAGTTAACTATGTTGCTAATTCTTACTATCCACTCCTTTCAACTCGGGTGACCACTGATCTGCCTGCTGTCACTATAGATGAAATTCGTCCCTCCTAGAATTTCATGTAAATGGAGTCATATGGTATGTATTCTTTGTGTCTGGCTTTAGATCAGTCTAATGGTTTTGAAATTTATCCACGGTGTCTGTGTCATTCCATCCTTTTTCATTGACAAGTTTATTCTATTATGTGGGTTTGGCATATTTTATGTATTCATCGGGTGATTATTTTTCAACTATGAATTCTGGTCATAAAAATTTTTAAAAATAAATATGTTGCTGACTGTGACAGCAATAACTTTTATTTAATTTTTTTTCATTTGCCAGAGGGCATGTGTGCTTGTGGTGGGAGAGGAAGAGAGAAAGAGAGAGAGAGAAAGTGAAAAAAACTGGGACCAACAGTTAGCGTAATGGCTATGTCACTGGACTCCCATGTAGTTGACCGCGGTTCATGTCCCGGACCCAGTGGCTTAAAACTCATGCTGGGCACGTGTGTGTGCGTGCCCAAGATCCTGAGAGGAGAATGGAGGAAAAGGGATTGCGGCGTGGCCATCCCCCCCTGGGGGAGGGGGTGATTTCTTCCTTTCTGTCTCTCTGTCTCTCTCTGTCTTTCTGGAGAGTGCATGCACCCTATAGCAAAAAGAAAAACCTCTCCAAAAAAAAGAAAGTGAAAAAATCACCCCCATGGGGGATGGTCATGCCATAATCCTTTCTCCTCATCTCTTTCTCTCTTTCTCTCTCTATACACACACACACACACACACACAAACACATATACAGATATATATACACACACACATATAGTATACACTCACACTTAAAATGGGACAAATATGTGTGTGTATACTATATAATGTGTATGCGTATATATTAAATAAAAATTATTTATTTAATTTTATTTATTTTTAATTTGACGAGAGAGAGAGAGAAAATAAGCTGCCAAATTCAGACTCAAACCATGTTCACTCCTAGTGGAAGTGCAGTGCCTTAACCACCATACCATCTTTTGGCCCTGAGTATTTGAGTATAATTTTAAGTGTCATGTTACAAGTCAGCTAAGTCCAGCTACTTCTTACTGTGGTCAATGAAATAAGAGGCAGAGGCTAGAGAAGAAGGGAGTGTATTTCTGCAATTCATTACAGGCAGATGGTCAACAAGCACCATCAAGTTGTCTTAAAAAGCCGAACACTTGCTCAGTATTTATAAATAAGAGCACATGCAAATCATTCCTCAGTTTAGTCAATCAGAGTCAGTTGCTTTATCCTGATTCCTGTTTTATTTTCAAATACCCATTGCTAGTTTCTCATCTAACCATTTCTCATAGACCTCCTTGTGACTCAGTACTTGGTTAGATTGTTCTCTTTAGAAGTCCTTCTTAATTTCAGAATGGTGGGAGACCTGCTAAACCTCAAGCTGTCCTACTTCCATTTGATTAGTTCATATTGGTTGTCTGGTGTTCCAAATACTAAATAATAATTATGCCTTATAGAACTGACTCCTTACTGGTTCAGTTTCTGAAAAGGAAGTATTAATTAAAAAGACAGTTTTATTTATTTATTTTTAACTTGACACTTTAACAAGAGATGTATCCTCTTCCCCACTCTTTCTTTCTCTTAAAAATAAACTTTCTATAGAGACTGAAAGATTGGAAGACATACAAGCATGAAAAATTGTTATGGACACTAGAGACAAAGTGGAAAGAGTATTGGAGGGGAAGAGCATAGGAAAGGCAATTTGGGGAAAAATAGAGATATAAGACATTTGTGGGACACAGATATGGTTTATTATTTGTTGATGAGGATGTGTATAGTATTCTCAACTAGGCTGGACTGAGGTGTATATCGTGCTGGATAAAGTCTCTTTACAATCTAAATGATGTATAGTGATTGAATTAATAAATAATAATATAAATAAATAAACAAAACTAAAAAAACCCCTTTCTAATATAGAATATATCTTAAGTGGCTCAAACAGCAAGATTAAAGTTTATTTCCTGAGATTCCAGCAGGTGGCACTCTTATCAAGCCTAAAGAAATATTGCCTTGGCAACCCTTGGTTGTTTTTTCAGGTCGTTTCTTTCCTACTGTGACCTATTTACAAACCCATTTGATTCGGAAAACTACATTTTTTTTTTTAATTATCAGAGTCATATATGCTGTTTGTTACACATTTTAAACCAATGTACAAAAGAGGCCCAGCTTTGGTAGCGTGTGATGGACACTGCTGCTTGGCAGGCTGGGGCTATTCACATTGTGTAAATTCAACTTACAAGCAAAGTGATGTGCAGTGATTAAGTGTATAAAATTAAAAAAAATAATAAAGGCCAAGGTTTAATTCCTAACCCACTCTAAAAAGTCATTTGTGGTGGTGTGGGCCCGTGGTCCTTAGCTCCCTAGAAGGCTGAGGCAGGATTGCGACAGACAAGACCCTGTCTACAAGAAAGCACCACACGTTCATGCATGTACATGTCTCTTTACAATCTAAATGATGTATAGTGATTGAATTAATAAATAATAATATAAATAAATAAACAAAACTAAAAAAACCCCTTTCTAATATTGAATATATCTTAAGTGGCTCAAACAGCAAGATTAAAGTTTATTTCCTGAGATTCCAGCAGGTGGCACTCTTATCAAGCCTAAAGAAATATTGCCTTGGCAACCCTTGGTTGTTTTTTCAGGTCGTTTCTTTCCTACTGTGACCTATTTACAAACCCATTTGATTCGGAAAACTACATTTTTTTTTTTAATTATCAGAGTCATATATGCTGTTTGTTACACATTTTAAACCAATGTACAAAAGAGGCCCAGCTTTGGTAGCGTGTGATGGACACTGCTGCTTGGCAGGCTGGGGCTATTCACATTGTGTAAATTCAACTTACAAGCAAAGTGATGTGCAGTGATTAAGTGTATAAAATTAAAAAAAATAATAAAGGCCAAGGTTTAATTCCTAACCCACTCTAAAAAGTCATTTGTGGTGGTGTGGGCCCGTGGTCCTTAGCTCCCTAGAAGGCTGAGGCAGGATTGCGACAGACAAGAACCCTGTCTACAAGAAAGCACCACACGTTCATGCATGTACATACAGGCACACACACGCGCGCACACACACACACACACACGCACAAAGAAATGAAAGTCTCCAAATCCCTTGCTAATTCTCAAGAGATAACTGCTATCATAGTTTAATATGTACACTATTTATTTAACTTTACTCATACAACAAATGCAAAATAGAAGCAAAGTTTTTAATTTGTAAAATTTTAGATTTTAAAATAGTTGTAAACAACATTATTTTCTTTTGCTGTCTGATCCTTTACTGAGGATTTTTCTTGTAAGTTCTTTTTCTTGGAAACCTTTCACTTCTGCAATTCGTTACTTGCTGAATACAAGGGACCTTTTAGGTTTGCATTGAGTTAGAGCCTGTGGTCTAGTGAATGAGGGCTGGGATCTCATAAGGGCACTTCTGTGGTCTCCCCTCCAGTCACCGCCAATTTGTATGTTGAAGCCTATGCACCAGTGCGATGGCATTAGGAGGTGGCCCTTTGGGAGGCGATTAGGTCATGAGAGCAGAGTGGTGGTGAATGGGAAAACGAGGCCCCAGAGAACTGCCTTGCTCTTAATGCTGTGAAGACATGGTGAGAAGGTGCTGTCTGTGAACCAGGAGGGAGCCCCTTACCAGACACTGAATCTGTCTCCCGAACTAAAAAATATCTTTCTGTCATTTATGAACCACCCAATCTAAGGTATTTTGTTCATGTAGCCTGAACAGACTTAAGACAAATGCTGTGCTAGTTGCGTTTCTTGGCAATGAGAATAGGGCAAAGTGAACTCGGAATATAGGAAATCTAATATTTCTTTTGCCAAGTGAAGACTCTAGGATATTCTGACTCAGGAGTTCTCAGAAGAGGGCTGTTGTTTTGAACAGGCTGGCTGTTCCATGAAGTCCTAGCTATTGGAGCTTTAGTGGAAAATTTTATGAAACCATTGATTTTTTTTTTCTTCCAGGTAGTTTGTTTCTCATGATATTAACTTGGGAGCTGCTGACTTCCTCCAGAACATGCCATCCAGGAGGTGAAGGTAGAACGGCAACACCTCTGTGACCTATTCTCTCAAGTCAGCTCCTGTCACTTCCCCAAAAGGTCTGCTCTCTATTGATTGTGGGAGGGGACTACATGAGGGCGTGAATACCAAGAGATGGGGGTCACTGGGGCCATCTCGGAGGCTACCACAAGAAGAAATCAATGTGCAGGCGGTATTTAGAGCCATGGTATGCAATGAGATTTGTGGAGTGATTATAGAGAGAAGACAGGATTGGGCCAACATTCAGAGATCCCAGAGAGAAATCTGAGAAAAGCTTAGAGTGAAGTGGTATCTTTGGGAGCCCCACTGGGGGTGGGGTGGGGGAGAGTGTTTCCAAAAGAAGGGAATGCTGAGAAACTAAAATAATAGCCAAGAAATTATCAGTGGTTTTATATTTATTCGAAAGTACTTATTCCTTTGGGACTCATGCCCTCTGGATGTAGCTGTAAGGAAACGTGTTACTTAGAATGTAAGTATTTGCAGGACTTTTGAGTAACAGGTTAGTGGCATATCATTTGTTACTTGGGGGTTATGGATCTTTCAGGATGGGACCTTGATAATCTGTTTGGGTCTGAAAGGTGAAGTTCTGCTAGGATGTGCGCTGGATGATGAAGGCTAAACTGGGAGAGCTGAATTTGTAATAAAGTGAGATGAATGGAGGACTTGAAACCATTAAAAATATTAAAAGAAAACATGACTTCAGCAAGTCAACTAAAAATGGCATACTAGCCCTTATCGGGCTTGAGCACTCAGCTCTGGAATTCCTCCAGACTTGCAGGACTCCTCCCTCTCCCTTCTTCTCCCTTTGGTTTTTCTTGCATTTCCTTCCCCTGTTTTCTCCAGCCTGTTTTGGTTCCATGAAGTAAATAAGAATAAGATATGAATATTGAGTACTTTTGAGGTGCCAGTCCAATGCTTTATGTATGTTACCTTCTTAAATCACTAAATTCACCCCATGAAGCAGATTCCATCATCACTATCATTTTTACTTTTACTTTTTTTTTTTTTGAGAGATTTTTGCTATTTGGCCCATGTGCTTGCCAGAAAGAGAGAGACAGAGAGACAGAAAGTGAGAAGTCACCCCCCAGGGGGGATGGCCATGCACAATCCCTTCTCCTCCATTCTTCTCTTGGGATCTTGGGCACGCATGCACATGAGCCCGGCATGACTTTAAGCCACTGGGTCCGGGACCGCGGTCAAGTACATGGGAGTCCAGTGACAGAGCCATTATGCCAACTCCTGGTCCCTCATTTTTACTTTAAAGATCAGGAAACTCAGACTCCTAGAGCTTAAGTTACTTGCTAGAAGCAGAGCCAGACTTTGAACCCATCAGGCCTCAGAGCATTGGTTCTCAGTTATTAAATTCATATTTGGTTTTCTTATGAGGGTTTTGAATTGGCAATCTATATAGATTGAACCACCATCTACTCAGGCTTAGACTTTGGTTACCTTCTACCCCAATACTGAACTTGGTTTCTGATATTGACTTGTGGGTCTGCCATACCCCCAACAGAAACCCCACTCTGGGCCGCACTACTGCTAAATAGGACAAAGGAGAAAAAAGCAATGTTCCTTCACATCTTTGCATCTTCTCACATGTATTTGTCACGTTCCTGTTCTTCCTTTTATGCCTGGTCAACTTATGTATGAAGCATTGATTTGCTCTTTGACAAGTAGTTCACTTCTTCTTCCATATGTCCTTTGAACTTCTATTCAGCCTATCTGACTACCACCCTTCCTGGCACATGTTCGCCTCTGGCATCAACTGTGAGCCCCTCAAGGCAAGGACTAGGTCTTATGCATCACTGAGTTTCCCATCTAGCATGCTGTAGGGGCCAGATAATAAGTATTACTTGACTGCATGAAAGAAGATGCTAAAAAATGAATAAGACAGGTATTATCCCTTGTAGTGGACAGCAACCTTGATGGACTGACAAAAAAGATAGAATGTCTTAAAAATGTTTTTCAGTGTGGTCTCCAACTCTGACATCCTTGTGCCGAGGTTTATGTACTTTATTGTCAGTATCTCAAAAACCCCTCTCTATGGCCTTGAAATTATTGTTGGAATCAAAAGGCACACATTTCACATTATTATCATTCATATTTTATTATAATTAATTCTATTTAAACAATAATAAAAGCTCTATGATTAGAAAAATCTTCCAGATCACCAAAAGAAAGTTCATTAAAGACTATTCCAAGTCCAGGAAGATTAATTTTGGCTTGAAGACAAACATAGACCAACATAACCACAATGACCTGCAGTTGAAAATTATTTCAGAAAAGCAAAAAGGATTCAGTGTGAATAGGGAATCCAAAGAAAACGGAACAGATAAGAATAGAGATTGAATTAATACAGTTTCTCATTTCAAGAAGAATAATTTCTATTTGTAAATTTCTCATTCCAAAGGAACCAATCATAAGACAAACAAGCCCCATGGCAAAATTTTACATTAGTTCTTGAATTTCCTGAACTTGGGACGAGACCACCTCACCATTCACCTCTTCCACCACAATTGTCTTGATTTTTCGGGTTTTGTTTGGATCTAAAGATAAAAATGGAACAAAGGGGGCAAAAGTTAGTTTTTAAATATTAATAAAAGATTGAGCGCTTTTTCACCTAAACTTCTAAATTAGGTATTGGTTGATACAGTCCATCACGTTTAAACTTTCAGAAGTGACTTGTACATTTTTTTTTTAAGAAATGTGATTTATCCAATGAAAATGAAATGTATTTAGTGTTGTCCTGTGAACAAAGGAAAATAAAAAAGTGCTTATCATATGTCTTTGCTGAGTAGGTTTTTGTCCTTCCTGGGCTTACCAGACATTTTGATACAGTATAGACTATTTATTTTGCAGCAAAGATGCATAAATGTTTTCCCCTTTGGCGTGGAATATAAATATGCTTTAAGTTATCAATAATGGGATATTCAATTATATCTTATAATTTCAGTCAATGATGTGATTCTGATGTATCGTGAGTGACTGTTAGACAATCTGCGTACCTTTAGAGGAATCAATGGACTGTGCTTGAGATTTGGAGTTTGTCAAAGATAAACTTTCGTCGAAGCCATCACTGTAAGAAAACGAGGGAGATGTCATCACAAAGTGAAGCTACCTGGCAATGAATGGAACATCTGGTCTGAGAACTGAGATATCTCGATTTGCAGTCCTGAGTTCTTCCCCCTGGTCCAGAATGTGATTACTTTTGGAAAGCTTGCTACAATAGGCTTGTTTGTTTGTTTGTTTTTGGTCATTTTCTATAAACTAAAGAACCCCTCCTTCTGTTGCAGCAAACCCTGCATCAAGTGTCCGTGTCCACTGTGTGTCTTCCCCTCAAGGTTATTTTGAAGGTTATCTATTCACCCTGGGGGTCCCCCATCCAGCAGGCGGCGGTAGGTCTCGATCTCCATCTCCAGTCGGGCCTTGACATTCAGCAGCCGCTGGTACTCCGTGTTCTGGCGCTCTGCGTCCGCGCGCATCTGCACCAGCTGTGCCTCTAGGTTTCCGATGAGCTGCTGCACCTGGGAGAGCTGGCTGCAGTAGTCACCCTCGGTTTCAGCCAACGAGTCCTCCAGGGATTTCTTCTGCACAGGGGAGGGAAATGGTATAGACCTAACAATGGGGAAGACTGAAAAGAGGAGGGCAGTCCATGTTCTAACACGATTTTAGGCAACATTTTCTCTGGAAGTTCAAGTGGTGCTGCGTCTGTTTGCGCGCGCCTACCATAGCGAGCTGGGACTGAAGCTCGATATCCAGGTTTTGAAGCGCGCGCCTCAGGTCAGTGATCTCGCTCTTGCTGCTCTGAAGCTGCTCCGTGTTGGTGCTGATCTCCTTCCTGAGCTCTCCGCTCTGCAACGGCAAAAGCGCCCAGGGGAAATGAGCACTGACTCACAAGTCTTTTTGAGAATGCATCAAAACCTTTAGTTTTTATTTGTGTTACCTTTTCAATGAACCAGGCTTCTGCGTCCTTCCGATTCTGCTCCGCGATGGTTTCATACTGAGACCTCATGTCGTTGAGGAGCCTGGTGAGGTCTACTCCTGGAGCAGCGTCCATTTCTACACTAACCTCGCCCGGGCCACCTGACCGGAAAGTTTGGAGCTCCTGGGGACAAAGTGAGGGAGAGGGGATGAGGGCCTATTGTGATTTTTGTAGGTGCCAGGTACTTTTGCTTTCTTGGGCCTCTTCCTCCACAGAAATACTAAAAAAAAAAGCATTTTATCACTGCCTTGTAAAAAGACAAAAATATTAAGACAATGTATTAAATCTTTAACCTAAAAATTCATATTTTTCTTCTGATTTTAAAAGAAGGTGTTATCACAGTCCTCCGAAATCACCACAGGCTCTACTGGGTAAGCTGACTATGTTTCTTGAGGATCTACCTTTACAGAAGTGGAAGGCTTAGTATATACATTACTGGAGGGATTCAGCTACAGTTCCAAACTCAGGGCTGCAGACAGTACCTAGGCTTGCACACGTTTTATACTCCAATCATTAAAAATCTAGTGGAAACTTCTTTAGTTGTCCATTGCCAGCATCCATTCTACACCAGTCTCTGATACACACTGCAGCACATCAAGGTTCATGTGCATATTAATTGGTATAACCAGTTTCTCTAACATATAGAACTTTCTGTGTAATTTATAGGCTTTCGTTTTTTAACTTTAGAACTACTTTATATTTTTTTAAATTACTAAATCAAGACAATTACAGATAGCATAATGGTTATGTTGCTGGATTCCCATGTAGTCAACCATGGTTTGGTCCTGGACCAGGTGGCTTAAAATTTACACTGAGTGCATGTGCATGTGTGCCCAACATCCTGAGAAAAGAATGGAGGAGAAAAGACTGCAACGTGGCCATCGCCCTGGGGGAGTGATTTCTTGGTTTCTGTCTGTCTCTCTCTATCCAGCGAGTGCACGCACCCTACAGCAAAAATCTCTCTAAAAGAAAAAAAATTCTTATTGTCATTATCTAACGATGAAAATGACAAAAGCAGAAAGGACCTCTAATGCACTAAACTTAATTTGTGCGCACATGTGCACATGTGAACGCACACAGAGAAAGCACATGCATATACACGTAAGCAAACATATACATATACAGAAATCCAAAACAAATGGCCCTCCTAACAGGGAGATCATGTATCCTCCATATTCTAACTCTGGACTTGCAAATCTGAAATTGTAACTTTTTCGAACAGAGGGGAAAAAAGTAGCTTCTGACCTCCTCGTGGTTCTTCTTCAGGTAAGCCAATTCTTCAGTGAGGCTCTCGATCTGCATCTCCAGGTCGGCCCTGGCCAGGGTCAGCTCGTCCAGCACCCTGCGCAGGCCGTTGATGTCGGCCTCCACCGTCTGGCGCAGGGCCAGCTCATTCTCATACCTGAAAACCAAGTGCAAAACGGTTTAGAGAATCAGCACAATCATTGAAAAGTCCCTGACTGTCTTCAGAGCTCTTTTGTGTAAGGCACATAAATTTGTGCCACTCTTTAAAAATAGTTGCAGATGATACAGTTTTGTAACATTTTCTTTTCTTTCTTTCTTTCTTTCTTTCTTTCTTTCTTTCTTTCTTTCTTTCTTTCTTTCTTTCTTTAATTATTGTTTACTGTTCAGTTGAAAGGGAAAGAAAAATGAGATACTTTTCTATGAGCGATAAACTCCTATGGCTCAGAGAGCAGCAGCCCCTCTCCTTAGCTGGAGCTTCTAATGCACTTGAAAATAAAATAAGCTATTTTTTTTAACCTTTCCTAATGATTTAATTTAAAACGTTGATACTATTTTAGTAGCTTTTAGCAGGATTTTTCACATTTAGTATCATTACCACTGCAACTTGTTATGTGGAAATTTTGAGAAGCTAAAAGGAAGTTAGTATTTATTTCTTATTTCTGGGAGTGTGAGGTATGGGAAAGGACGAGGGATGTAAAACTAAGTTCATGGTTAATCTTTCAGTTGTCTGCATCACCAAGTAAACAGTTGTCTCATTTAACCCCTTGGTGAAAACATTATAAATTCTTTTTTTTTTTTTTTTAGAGATTTTTTGTGCATGCGCTCACCAGAGGGACAGAGAAAGACAGAGAGACAGAAAGTAAGAAATCATCCCCCACGGGGGATGGCCACGCTGCAATCCCTTCTCCTCCATTCTCCTCTTGGGATCTTGGACACACACGCACGCGTGCCCTGCGTGAGGTTTAAGCCACCGGGTCCAGGACGTGAACCGCGGTCAACGATGTGGGAGTCCGGTGATGTAACCATTACACCATCGGCTGGTTCCTATAAATTTATTTTGATACACTGGAAAATCAAGGTTTAGGACATTGATATAATTTGTAATAGTATCATGTTATAAATATAACCCATAGCTCTAGGCTTAAACAGTTTATAATATAATGACACATAATGTGAATTATGTTTAATTCTAATTACTTTCTAGAATGCCCTTTGTGAATTTACCAAAACACTAAATGTGTGGAGCATGTGAACTTCAGAATATTTGAATATTTGCCATCAATGAAAGCAGGAAAATGGAGGATAGGAAGAAATGGTGGGGCAGGTCAGGGAGCAGCAGCGTGTCCTGCTCACTTCATTCTGAAGTCCTCGGCAGCCAGCCTTGCGTTGTCGATCTGCAAGATGAGCTGGGCATTTCCAATGTTGGCAGAAATGATCTGGCAAAACAGGGAGACGCTCGGAATGAAGTCTTCCAATGCTAGCATTATACAGATACATATTTGACACAAAGGTCAAAAGGGTGTTGTTTGAAACTGCTTTATAAAGAGTTTAAGGCAGTTTCACTTTTCTAAGAAAATATATTTATGAAACAATATTGAAAAATAAATAAACTAAGACTTTTTAACAGAAAGATGGTGGAAATTACAAACACTTTATGGTACATGATGAAATGGAACTAAACATCCTGAGATGAGAAAATTCTCCAAATAGAGTCAAACAGAAGAATATTTAAGTTGTAGGTGATAATCACGATAATCACTATGAAATACTGTAATAACAATAAAAAAAATTCCCAAAGCCCCTCCAAAAATATATTCTCACCTTATTTCTGAGGTCTTCGATCAGTGGGTAGTATTTACTGTAATCACTCTGGGACCCAGAGTCTCCAGTCCCAGTTCCTCGGGTTTCATACCATTCCCGAATTTTGTTTTCTAGCTCAGTATTGGCCTCTTCTAGAGCTCTAACCTTATCCAGATAAGACGCTAATCTGTCATTAAGATTTTGCATGGTTTCTTTTTCTGACCCAGTCAGAAGGCCTCCATCATTGCCCGAGGAAAGACCCAGAGAGCCACCTCCTGTGCTCGCCCCAAATCCAATCCCCAGTCCACCAAAGCCTCCTCCTGTGCCTCCCCCTAGCCCCATCCCCAGCCCTCCAAAGCCACCTCCTAGGGCTCCTCCATAACCAGTGCCTAGACCTCCTGCCAAGGAACTGCCAGAGCCACCACCAAAGCCAGAACCAGAGCCAAACATGGAAGCAGCAGAAAAGCCTCCCCCATAGCCAGCTCCCAAGCCGAAGGCACTCCCCCCGTAGCTACTTCCAGCACTAGAAGCTGACATGCCCCTGGATCTGCCCGCTGTCCCATTCTGGGAGGACAGCCTTCGAGACAGTCCTGAAGCCCGCACTGAGAGTGACATGGCGTTTCAGGTCGTGACAACCGGAGAGAAAGCAGTATCAACAAGCCAGAAAGGTTAACCTTTTATAGGCAGCGAGAAAGGTGTTGCAGTTGAAGAGTTCACTCTCTCTAATCTGAATAGGGTGCCTCCTCCCTGTCCTTGGCCAGATCAACAAGTACATGATTTATGTATAATGAAAATTCATTGATATAGAAATAATTCAATAATCATTTTCATTAATATGTGTTATACAAAGAAAAAAAATAAAAGAAAAGCTGGGTGGAGTAGAGTTAGGTTGTCATAAGGAATTTTTCTTCTTCAAATTATATGATTACTGGTATCCTCAGCACCACCCAGTGCCTTAGACGCAGTAAGAAAGCAGTGGCTGGCTGTTGGATAAGTAATAGACACTTCTTTCTAAATCTTAAGCTTCTTAAAGTTTGCCACTTACCTTTTTTATTTGTTTCCTTTAGAAAACCCAATGTAAGCTATCCATTCATGATCACTCAAAGGAGTGAGATATAGTTTCAGAAACAGCTGTGGCAGGAAGCGAGGAGTCCATGGCATTGTTCAGGTTGATCCTGGAGTTTGAATTTTCAAGGATTTTAAAACCTTGTAATTAGGATGTTGCATACTTTATTTTTCTTTTCTTTTCTTTTTTTTTTTTTTTTCTGATTTGGAAGATAAGACCTCTGAAAAACTGAAAAGTGCTTTTTTAAAGTAGGCTCTTGATATGTCAACAGTTTTTTCTTTATGTAAGAATTGACCTTCTTAGGAAGCTTGAAATCAGGTCACACCTGACACCTCTGGAAGGAATACTCAGGATCCATTCTAGCAAATGGAAGAACTGTTCTGATGCTTTTTATGACTTCCCAGGTTCAGC